TATATATACATATACATTTTCTATAATACGTTTGTCGGCAAATAGATCGACAGAGACGACAACTATTTGCACATAAGCCTACCAAGGAATAAATCCGCTATGATGTGCTTTAAGTGCAGATTAGTTAATCTATTTTTGGCATCCACGTTCCCCTCGACTTCAGTTTCCTCTTGAGTTTTCAGCAGAAGCTCAATCAAATCTTTGGCTGGACGATCTGCAAAAAAAAAAAAAAAAAAAAAAATATTTGAAAAATGGATTGTTAATATATGTGATAATACTCGCCATCTGTTATATTTGCAGTTTACCTCGACATGAACATTATAATGTTAATTTTAATATTAGTACATTTTTAGAAGTTACAAAATAGGTTTGTACTTTTTTAAAATTAACTTTAATATATTTAATTTATTATAAATTCATCATCGTATTAAAACACAATTATCAATGTCATTTCTACATGCATATATTATGCTGCGTCTTTGAATTTATTAAACCAATTAAACACTAAAAAATCCAAAAACAACGAATATATTAATGTAAAAAAGTTAAAACCGTAACTGAAATCGAATAGTGGTAACCACACACTATTCTAAACAGTCTATTGAAACATAAATCCATACAATATACATATATATATATAACTTTCGCAAATACCTGGATCAAAGTTTTTAACATGCGATTCAACTTCCTTTAATATCACCGAAAAAAAATGATTAGCATATTTTTTAAATTTGTAGAAATATGGATTTGGTACGAAGCGAAACCATGGAAGAAAATCTGCGGTCCATCCATTACCAAATCCTTTGATGACATTTGTTGAGGTTTCCACAATTTGTTTCAGTCTTGGATCGTCCACATCATACCTAGATTTATAAACAGTAATTGTTCATTATTTCTTTCCTCCGATCTTGTATTCATAGGAGTGTCGCCGAAAAGATTCACCATTATTTGTGCTTAATTCTGTACCAGATAATCACGGATTTCCAGCACATAATAATGTAAAACGGCCAACAAAACAAAATTTGTAAAGGATGATCAAGAATAAAAAACCAAACAAGACCTATCCATATTCCATACCTTCTCTTGCGATCAATTTCGAGTACGGCTAAAAACCAAAGCTGATGAATCATATTTTTCAATCATACAATCGTATATTATTATTATATTATATATTATATATTATGTTATTGTTATATCCTGGCTGGATGATACTACTTTTTAACACGTTAGCGTCCCATTCAATGGACGGTATAAATTGAGCGAAGTGCCTTATCTAAACACAAAACAAAATCGACATAGGCCGCGTAATAAAACTTCAGTTAAGGCTGTTGTTATTGAAACGCAGATTTACCGTAACTATTCGGTGTATTCAAATAAGATTTTAAAGAGAAAAAATATGCACAATATAATTATATACCATTTTAGTTTTACAAAATAAGCTGTACAGAACACTAACCTGTGGCCAAAGCACATGGAGGCGATGACGTTGTAAACAGCAAAACCAATTACATCACTGGGGTCAAAAGGTCCTTTCAACTGCTTCGCCATAACTTTCTTTAAAATCGGTCTGGTTTGTTCACTAAGACTTTCCAGATATTCGCCAGACGCAAATTGTCTAAAGACGACAAGTAATCAAGGACTTTTAACATGGCGTACCCACCCCTTTTCCCCCTATTCCTCCAGTTTTTATATATGTAAAAATATGTATCTCAATAATCCTTTCCGAATGTGCATTAGAAAAATCAGTTGTACAACATATCCACCATTTTTTTTTCTCTGGAGCCTTGCTTCAGCGTTCTTGAAATATTATTATAAGAATGAAAATAAGTCAGAATAAAATAAAGATAACAACCACATTCGATTTAAAACGATATATGAATAATGAAAATTAGGCCTACGTTCCTTCGTTCCGTTCGTTCCTAGGTAAAATAATAGGCCCACCTAGGACATATTATTAAGCATATAGGCCATTGGACCAAGTACAATATAAACGAAATTCATAAAATAATCAGCTTCTATGTGTGAATAGGTTTTCAAAATAATGGTTTCTATTTTTGTATACAAGATAAGTGAATTTGACAAAGTTACAATATATATTTTGATTTTTAGAGGACACTGATAAAGTAAATTTTTCTATTGAGGGAAAGTTAACATAATATGGTGTTTTTTTTTTTTTATAAAAGGGACATTGTAAAATATAATGGAACTCATCTTCAACTAAATCATAATTAAATAGTTTACATACTCGTTCGTTTCTTTGTGTTTTTGCCCATCTTCCCCTTTCAACATCAAGGTCAAGAACACCTAATCTCAACTTTGTCATAACTGTTTTCATTTTTAAATTCTTAATAATATAAAGATCGAAACTTTCTAAATAAATGTACCTTAACATTTTCATTTCGTTCTATTTTTCTAATCTGTAAATCATAACATTTCACTAAGTACCTGCTCTGATCGGTGTGGATAATGTATATCCAAAATCGAATTATATTAAGTAGACATGTAATAGATATGGAAAACCGTCCCGTTTCTGATAGAATCGAGATGTATCTACAAAACTGGCTATGGACACGTTCAATCATTTTCATGTCTTTAAAACCCCAAATTTCTGATCCATACGTGAGAATCGGAAGTATTTATGAGTCGAGTATGTGATTCCATTCGTTGGCAGGTAGATGATTAAAATTTCGATTGATTATGGATTTTATTGAAAAAAAAAAGCTTTTTTTGCTTGTATACAATTTTTGTCCTTTGTAATACCATTTTTCCATTTCCGTATCTTGCCACCATTTTTAAATATCATAGCCTTAGTTTTTTCGACATTAACAGTAAATACAGTAAATGCTCGAATAAGCGCCGCACCAAACCTGATTATTTTTTTTTTGCCAAGCGCCGCTCTCGAATAAGTGCTGCGGCGCGCGCCTAATCAAGGGTACCGTATATTATTGCCCTGTGTGTAATGAAAGTCTTTGAGAAACATGATTTTAAATGCAAAGTATAAAGTTTTAAAATGAATAAATAACACAATGAAGACACAAGAATTTCTTTGTGAACGTTTATTTACGATGACATAGGACCTATGATAGGCCCACTGAACTTCGGGAATACGTGAAACAGGAAACATGGAAATGGGTATGGAAAGCGCCACTCTCCAATAAATTTTTGGCGCCGCTATTGAATAAGCGCCTCACCGAAGCCTCCAAAAATTTTATAAGCGCCGTGGCGCTTATTCGAGCATTGATTGATTGATTGATTGATTGATTGATTGATTGAATTTATTCAGTGTAAACACCAAGGATAGCCCACGAAAGTCTAGAAGAACGCTTATTTCCTGTGGGGTCCTTCTGGTGGTGATTGAGCAGTACACCGGGAGACAATCCCTTACTCTTTTCCGAAGAGCGTACTGCGTTTTTTAGCGTGCACATGGGCCATAATAATAATAACCAACGGCTTAAACGTCTCATCCGATCCTATTGTAACTTGTATTTCAGCCCTCTAGCTGAAACACAAGGAGAGGCAGTGATGGGGATTGAACCGGAGACCTATAGACACAGTGGTTACTACCAAATTAGCCGACTGAGCTAAGCTGCAATATACATATTATAACAATATTAGAAATCTATGCTCCCTTGTGAATTCGAAATATTTTTTTAAATTTAAGTGATAGAAAAAATGTATATTCAAGTAAGTACTGTACTACCTGATAGCTGAGTGAGCCAGCATGCGATGATACTTCCAAATTGGAGTAGGCTGGGCCATGGCGATATATTGTTTACCATCCGTAAACCAATCATCTAGTTGTTGAAAAAAGAAATAATTAGTTTAATGAGATATGAGAAATTCCTAATTTAAATTAAGGAATGAAAAACCAAATTGATATGATTACATATTTAAACAAGAAATTTCAAGGCAATATATGTTATACTGTATTTGTTATGGTAGTGAAAGAAATTCAATTCCTGCCAGTGTGAACCTAGCACATTCAAGTTGGATTAGAATATATTATTTTTTTTTAAATTTCTTATTGATTTAATTATTCGACTGCATACCGACAATATGTATTTAGACAAAATGTATATCCGAATTCAGTTAAGTTGCAGGTTTCATTGTCCTAATTACATTTTGTAATTTTGTATGTTTTTGTTTTATTCTCTCTTGGACGTACCTCCCGTTTGGAAGAGTCCACTGACATAAAAGTGTAGTTTCTGATTAAATTATATATAAAAGAAACAATGGAACTTATTGACCCGTATTAAACAGTTTTTTGAAACTTACTTATGAATGAAAGTGGACGTCCACTGAAATCCTTGGGCTTTGATAGCAACACCTCGTGTACTAACTCATAGTTGTTAACGACGACGGCCCAATACGATCCAAGTTTTATGGAAAATACATTTCCATATTTTTCTGACATATGCTTGAAAGCCTTATGAGATGGTATATCTCCTATAAGAGCTGAATGAAAAAATTATTTCGTTTTATTGTATATCTGAAAAAGTTTATTTAAATGTCATTATTCATGAATCAACATTAGACAACTTACCAAACATGTTTCCTATGATTGGATATGGGAAAGGTCCAAGTGGCATTCCAGGTGGTCGACGCGCGTTGTACACCCACGTGATGATTATGACGGCGAGTAGTACAAGCCATGAAGATAAGCCCAGAATAAAAGTTTGGTATACCATCCTAAAACACAACAATTTGCGAAGTTATTGCAGTGCCGTTATGTACTTATTATATTATTTACCCAATTAAATATAATACAAATTATTGATGACTGTCAAGTATCTATCATCAATCAGAATTTTAATTAAAATATAATAATATAGGCCTACAATATATCATCCCATAGGCCTATTTAAACACTGTTTCTATCATTTTACTATTTTGTATATATTTATTTTCTTTATTCTTTATACTGGGGAACCTGTTCAATAGGAAATATATTGCTCTCTCCATAGGGCCTATGATAATTAGGCCTATATAATTATAAGTCTCTACTATAATAATGACATCTGTGTCCAACCGCAAAGAATACCGTAATTCAAGTCAGTCCCTCAAGATATTACACTACAATCCGATACTGATTAGGCATAACGGCCAGCAAAAAAAAAAAAATATCCACACGAACTGGCCAATTTGACAAGAATGTGCTGGTCCACCGGACCGTTTTTGGTACGGACCATTTACCTTTAACAAGCCTAAAAGACTTTTAGTTATGGGAAGGCTTAGTTATGGGAAAGTTTATTCACAACTTCACCAGCCCCACAGGCAAAATATTGGGCGATTTCAAGGGGGTCGAGCAAAAAATTGTGTTGGATCCATATATGGAAAGAATCAACTACAACTGAAACGGCATGTTGACGCACAAAAGGGTTGCTATCTATTGTTGATCTGACTGGTCATGCGTAAATGGCCGTTCTGAGTGCTGATTATCTGTTGAGGTGTATTTGAATAGGTGATACCCTTCATGTACTATACGTGGTAGTTTAAGCCCAAGTTTAAGCTGATATCATTGCAGTATTCATATCTGTACGCACAGTGAACGTATAAATATTAAATAATAACGTTACATAACCTAATTCATGACAGTGGTATTTATTTATTATGGACCCCAGTATTACCTTCCTCTGTCAGAGATCAAAAGGAGGAATTGTGGGATTACTGATCGATCAACTGTAAAAAATTCAATTGACTGCCCTCCATTTTTAAACTTAACCGCCTAAAAAATCGGTACGATTGTCAAAAACCATACTCCGTCCATGCAATAATTTCATATTATAGTCTATAGAGTATTTTCATTTTCAGTACCAGAGAAAAGGCTGCTTAAAACCACAAAATCTACAAAGTAGTAGAATATCTCTCACATGGGTAAAACCAGATTATATACTTCATGATTAAAAAGATGTTTCGTCGGATGGCGATCACAAAACCACATAATTTAGTCTTTTGTTGACCAATTTCAGGATGAAAATGATTTTTTTGTTCTTATTGTGTTATACACATTTTTAAAAATAGAAAAACTACAGCAGTATATTAATGTACTGTGATATGGAGGGTATTACATCACTGTACATAACGTACAGATAGCATTTTGATAAAAACCTGATTTAATGATATAATGAAATCAAAAAAAAAAATCCCTTTGAATATAACAATTTTATATGTATATTTCTGATGAAAGGCTTTCAATACTTTTACAGAATGAAATGGCTGATTGTAAAGTGAAATAATTTCCTTTTGATAGGCCTATATAAACAATTCTGTATTTTTTTATATCGCTAGATTTCGATTTTTTCCCAGATTATTTAATGTAATTTAATTAATGTGTTTTTGTAATTTGTTTTTCATAAATTTCCAATTATGATGGACAATAAATTTTATCTTATCGTATTTTCTTTTTTTATTTTACCTCAGCACCATTTAAATTTTTATTTTGTGCTATTTTTAAAGCAATTTCAGTCTCGGTGTTTTTTTTTTATAAAAACATTTTTTTTTTGTAAGTGTATGCAAATACACTCAAGATAAGATAAAGGTCTTGGTTCGGTGTCGAATTATGAAACGTGACAGGCTTGGCACCTAGACATCTGATTAGTGCCAAAAATTTACTGCATACATGTAAGATATAATAATGAACAATTAACAACAAATATAGCTTTGCTCACTATAATTATGGAAAAAGTGTCAATCTGATTGCTTTTTTGTAATTGGAATTATTTGAATAGTTCCAAATACAGTAAAAGTTGTTAGTTTATTTTTTTAAATGAGTAAGAAAAAAAAACTAGTGACACAATCAGCTCCGCAATCACCCTAATTTCCTTTGACATAGGCATGTTGTATTTTTGTTTTTATGTTGACACACTAGTATTTAATACTTTGTTGGTTATTTCTAATTATTTTAACCACACAAAGTCTCATGCATATTTTCTAGCTCCTTGCTGATAGCAGGGAAACGACAATGAAACAGTGAGTAACATCTTAATTTTACACTTGACTTCAGATCGTAAAAACTAACCACTAATACTTATTTATCGTTGGATCCGATGAATTTATTCAATGACAACGTACATAATCTTGAGTATGATATTGATCAAGGGAAGTCTTTAGTTAGTATTTTTAATGATTTCCGAAAAGCGTTCGACACAATTGATAACAAGGTTTCATATTTTAAACCCAGTCATTATGGTATTATAGGTAAAGCTTTAATTTGGATTTCCAGTTAGTTAATAGAATAATATATTTATTTCGTTGGTATTAAGTTTGATAAAGGTCTTACATTGAAAGTTCACATTCAAAGTTCAAAATATTAATTTTAAAAAATCAGGAGAAAGTCTGGAAAGACATTTTGTTTTCATAAAAACTGTAGTTATGCTTTATAATTCATCTATCCAAATTGAAATGAGGTATGGGGAAACATTAAATTCTCAAAAAAATGTTCGCTAGATGTATACATTTTTTTTTCATATTTCAGAGCACAGTCACCCTCTTTATTTTACTAACTTAAAATTCTTTATTATATATAAAATCCATAGTTATATGTTTTGAAATTTTTTTGCGATATTTTTTGATAATCGAACAGCTCACACGTTAAGTTGTTCTTTTGCTACTGTAGAATACTTATATAATACAAGATTTAGAAATTATGTTTGATTTAGCTATACAAAAGCCAAGAAACCTTAGGGAAATTTGGAATAGGTTACGCAGGTTCTATACTTTGGAATCAACTTTCGTTCGATATTCGCCAAACTAGTTGAAAACCATTTTAATACAACGTTTAACAAACATTTACTTGAACAGTACACTGTTTAATGATTTTTAAGTGTTTCAACTTAAATTTGAGACTAAGATTTATCATTTACTTTACAATTGATTGTATTACTATTATTATAATTTTTACTACTATTATTATTTTTATTTTTATCTTTATGATTAGTGTTATTATTATTATTACACTGCACCCTCCAATTCGAGACCCCTCTATTTCCGAGACCACTCTAGAGACTACTTTTCCAAAGACCAAACTAACAATCTTCAACCTTTTAACACAAGGCTAGCCCTCTAATTAGAGACAAACCCCGAGACCACCCTAAATTTTTTTGAGGTCCCAAAGGTGATCTCGAATTAGAGGACGAACTGTATTATTATATGTATGAATATTTCTTATGAATATGATTAACATAATATCTCATTATATTTTACTACTGTAAAATGGGGTAATCCTGATAAAAACAAATTTTTTTTAACCTCCTTTTGCCATGTGTAGTTGCTCAATTTATCGTGCGTTTGTATTTGGCAACACAATTTAATTAATGAATAAAAGTGAATGAAATAATAAAAGTGAATGAAAAGTAAACATATGATACACATTATTAGGTGTTCCTGGTCTTAGCGAGGACGTTGTATGGCTTAGGAACGGTCACTAATCCGGGTTTATCGGGGACAGCTACAGGACTGTCAACTCCTTCGGGTTTGCTGAATATAAAATTCTGTATCAGCCATACAAATGTCAGGAAAACGTTAGCTTTAGCAAAGGATTCTCCAACACACACTCTGCGACCAGTGGAGAACGGAAGAAAGCTTGGTAGACGCTGTTTAACAGTGTTTGTTGAATCCAAAAACCTTTCTGAAAAAATATACAAATAATAATTTTTAGTGCAAAAATCTGGAGTGAAACGAGAAGCTCGTTATAGAAAAAGGTACCAGATGCTACTTACCGGGTTGGAATTTTTCTGGCGATTGCCAATATTTCGGATCATTATGAAGCGCCCACAAATTCACTATCACAATCGTGTCTGCCGGTATCTTGTATGAGCCTATATATTATAAGCCGAGCTTTATTATATGGTCAAATGTGAAAATCCAATGCGAAATATAATTCATATAATATATTAAAATCGTTACTTCTCATATGCTGCTTTATGCATCTTACCTATCGTCGTGTCTACTAATGCTTTGTGAAACAAAGCAAGTGGTACCGCAGTCTTATATCGCATTATTTCCATGATGGTAGCCTCGGTATACGGCATCTTTCCACGGTCACTTAGTCTCGGAGGTCTGTCTCCTACAACTCTATCAATTTCTTTCTTCACTTTTTCTTGCACATCCGGGTTATCGATTAAGCTTGCAATGCCCCACAATAACGTTGTTGTCATGGTATCAACACCGGCTATTGCAAAAAGTTTTCAAAGCAAATTTTAGGAGAAATATAACAGAATTTCAAACTGGCAGATATCACATAGTTTAACGAAAAGGATAGTAAGAACAAAATACCTATCTTCAAGTAATATACAACATCTTGGACAAGAAATTTTTTAAAACATTATAGAGAATATTAAAATTATATGATATCTTCAGCAACCAAGATTTGATAAGTATTATTAATAATAATGTTAACACTAAAACAAAAATACGATTGAAAAAGAATTCTAAACTCTCAATTCACAGTATAATTAGAAAACCTAATAAAACTTATTATATATAAAAATGCGAAATTATATAACGAATATTAAAATATAATCACACATCCTAAGCAAAATTTTCTATAATCTGCAAGCTAAGAATCGGGGCTTGGTATAAGATCGCCCGGAGAGAGACAAAAACGTAGATGAAATTCCCTGCTGTCTGAAAACACGCGACTTGTTAATGAACCTAAAATGACGCGTAGTTTTGTGAGACTACACGTTGGATCGGGGACACGTAGGGCACGTGGGACAAGTGCGTAATCATGGCCTTGTTCTGATTGGTTTAATTGACGACACTCCTGAAAGGTCCATTATATAGAATCAATAGTGCGTTGCAAAATATCGTGGACTTACCATGGAATATATTAGCCACAAGTTGCTGTATGTGCATAGAAGTTAACCTGTTCTCAACAGGAACGGTGTCTTCGATTTCAACTTCCCTTTGGGATTTCAGCACGATGTCAAGGAAATCTTTCGCAGGAAGATCTGCATACATTGATGAAAAGAAGTATCGTACATTATAAAATCATGAAAACAGCAGAAGAGATGATTAGATAATCTTCTAGTTATTTAAGTTCACATCCTTCTTGTCATGCTAATAAATATGCTAAACTACTATGCAAGAGAGCAGTTATATGTTCAGTTCACACTGAAGAAGGTTACGGGGACGACCGAAATATTTGTGTACAAATAAATATATTTATGTTCCTGAAACACTTCAATCTTTGATTTCACTTGTGATCAGTCTCACTACATATGATAAGACCTGAACATACGTGCCCCATCAACAGAAGAACATGTGATACAAACACAATCAAATATAATCTACTGTACTATATATATTTTGATTTCAGTGTCGGTTTCCTTTTACCTGGATCAAAGCTTTCTACATGGGATTCAACTTCCTTCACTATCAATGAAGTGAATTCAGCAGCACACCTTTTGAATCTATAAAAATATGGATTTGGCACATGACGAAACCATGGAATATAGTCGGCAGTCCATCCAACAAATCCTTCGATGCATTGTCTTGAAGTTTTCATAATTTTGTTAAGTCTTGGATCATTCGCTTCATATCTAAATATAGAAATTATACAAAATAGTAAACTTGTTCATTGTTACAGAGAGAAGCCAAACCTATTGCGACCAACGTGTGTTGACGTGTAGAAAAGTACAACAGAGAAAAGATTACAGGAATGTTGATGTGCACAATTTTGATTTTTTTTCCACCTGCAGTACCACACTGTTTGATACAGATAGTTAATTTGAATTTAGTCATGCACAAAGTGAGTAAGGTACGAATTCCTCTAACTCTCAGGCCTATCTTGCCATAGTTTGTTGATTGAAAAGGACGACATATTATGATTATTGATAGGGAAATAGTATTTGGTTATTTTGTGACTCTTTAAATTCAGAACTTAAGATGAAATTCTTTTCTTTTCTGTCCATTTTACAAACACATTAGAGAGAAATATATACCTAATGAAATGTACATTCGTTAAAAAATATAATTTGTTAATAGAGATATTAATCAAATTATGTAATTAGCAATTTATTTTGAAAAATCATTAGAAAATGGGAAAAGAAAGGCCTGTGTGTCTGATAAATATTTTGATTATATTTTGTGAAATGGGCCCGGAGGCCATTTTTTATTGAAAAAAAAAACAAACTCAAAACCTAAAACTTGAAATCGGTAACTTGCAGACAAAGCAAAAATCAATTAATTAAACAATAATAATTCATTAAAAAAAAAATTAAATGAACTTTACATGCTTACGAATAAGCCATTTCATGGTTCTAGCTGGGCATGCGCGTACCAAGTTCATTCGACATAAGCACCATATTTATTTATATATTTATATAAATATGGTGCTTATGTCGATTGACCATACACACTACATGTTTATGTCGATTGACTTTTGATGCCACAGGATAAGCTCATGCGCAGTTAGAACCTTGAAATGCCTTATTGAAACTACACATACCTATGACCAAAGCACATGGTGGCAATTAAATTGTAAATAGCAAAACCAATGACGTCGTGGGGGTCAAAGGGACCTTTCAGTTTCTCCGTCATAATTGTTTGCCAGACTGGTCTTATTTCTTCAGTAACGCTTTCTAAGTATTCACCAGATGCAAATTTTCTTAAGACAAACATTATAACACATAAACATTAGCAATGACATCAAAATTTTAAATAATATATAAAAAAAATATTGTAAGTCATTGATAGATAAATTAGGCTTAAAAAGAACGACGTTTCGACTCTATCTTGAAATCATTCCAAGATTTGTAGTGAGAATTATCATGGAGGTATTATATGTAAAAGTATATAATTAATTAATCTTATTAATGGAAGAATAAACATGCAGTCAAGTTCCTTTATGCAGTTCGATATATATATATATATATATATATATATAGGCCTATGTATATATATATACAGTATATATATATGATATACATTTATATGCATATATTATTGATAGCAATATTGCTCATATTAGCAAATCAACCCTGCTGTTGTTAGTCAAGTGATATAGCCGACATATCTAGATAAAGGAATCCGTGGCCTTTATCGGTTTATCCAGGTGAAGTATTCTCTAGACAGAGAGACACCTTATTCATGGAATGTTATAGACCCATTTAAATAATACAACCTAGATATCATTTTATGTTTTTATCAGCAGTCTGAATTTAGTTTACTCTATATATTAGATAAATTCCTATATGGTACACCTGATAGCGGAGTGAGCTAGCATACGATGATGCTTCCAAATTGGAGTAGGCTGGGCCGTAGCGATATCTTTTTTACCGTCTGTATACCAATCAACTATTAAAAGGAAAAACAGTAAGTTCAAAATGGTAAAAATTACTCTAAACATAGTTCATTATCGGACAAGCTGCTAAAGGCCATGAACTGAAATGAACCCCATTTACAGGAAATGAATTTAACAGAACAAATTCACTAACAAAACATGAATTATATCTGCACAAGCGCGGTTTAATCAAAATGGAAATATACTTAAAACAGGGTGAATTTTATACCATACTGAATGAAGAAGATTTTCAAAAGTGGTAATGTGGAAGTCTTTGATAAAAGTCTGTTTTAGGCTTGGAGGCAAAATTAATTGTCATTGTGAAATAATTTGATTGAGAAATTATTGTTTATTTTGCGATTTTTTTTTGCGAGTAATAATAAAATGAAACATAATGTGGCTGAGGTGGGTGTATACTCTGGTGCAACTGTCGGGGAACTTTGGATCACCTGTCGGAATCTGGCCGCACACCTGGGTCTTAACCAACAGTCCACAACTATTATAGTACAGTAACAACGTCAAACTTACATCCAAATGTACTTGGACGTCCACTGAATTCATTGGTCTTTGTCAGCAATACCTCGTGTACTAACTCATTGTTGTTAACGACGACGGCCCAAAGTGAACCCAGTTTTATGGAAAATACATCTCCATATGTTTCTGACATTCGCTTGAAAGTCTTTTGAGGTGGAATATCTCCTATAAGATCTTGATACATAATTGGAAAAGAATAATAATTAATATATAATATTGTATTCAATACTGGTTACGTGTACTCAATGCATTGCATATATCATGTTGGATCTCCAAGAAGAGATATCAAATATCTAAATGGAAAAAGCCCAGAAACAACATATGTCGCTTAATGTACATAATATGCAAAGTTTATTTTTTTCATTCTGATCAGATTTTCATCTTCCGATTTTCCTCTTCTGTTACATTTAAATTATGTAGGCCTACAAATACAGCTAGTCCTCCAAATCGAGACCACCCTTGTTACTTGAAAATGTGAGGTGGTCTCGGGGTTAAACTCCAATTAGTGGGCTAGTTTTGTGTTAAAAGGTTGAAGACTGTTATTTGGGTCTTTGGAAAAATGGTCTGTACGTGGGCGTCCACTACATGCATCGGGTTTTTTCACCAGCACCTCGTGTACTAACTCATAGTTGTTAACGATGACGGCCCAAAATGATCCAAGTTTTATAGAAAATACATTTCCATATGTTTCTGACATTCGCTTGAATGTCTTATGAGATGGAATATCTCCTATAAGATCTTGGTATATTATTGGGAAAAAAAACAATATACGTTCAAATTATATATATATATATACATACATATACATACATTTGTCATAAAATAGGCCTAACTCATTAAATTCTAGAACGTACCGAACATGCTTCCTGTGATTGGATAAGGAAATGGTCCAGGTGGCATTCCATGTGGTCGACGTGCGTCTATGTACCACCACGTGACGACTATGATGGCAATTAATACAAGCCATGCAGGTGATGATGGAAAATCAATCTGAAATATCATCTTAAGCAAAACATTTTGGAAATTAACAAACTTGATACTGTCCCTGTCCCTTGCCGCAGCGTCTAAAGGTGTCAATATATGCAGTATACCGTGTTCATTCGTTCATTCTAATAAATAGGGGATTTATATAAAGGAAAATAGACTATGTTGAGATAAAGATGTAAATTTTGCAAAATGATAAACACTGATATTAAGTTTGTAGGCCTAGTACCGGGCAGTCTATACGGCCTAAAATGTTAAACTCTTCATCATCCAATGATGTGCATTTAATATTTATTATTTGTGTAATCATTGATAAACTAGTTGCAGCATCAGATCGAGAATGACTAATCATATATGCAATCTACAGCAGGCCCGTACGCAGGATATTTATTAGGTGGGTGCGAATTTGTGGAGAGTAGATCAAAATGGCTGGGGGCCGCCAGCAGATTCCTGCTGGGGTGGAGTGGGCGGAGGACCCTTGCGCTCAGACATTTTTGACAATTTGAGGTTGTAATTTATTCTGAAGATTCAATATCAACAGTATTAAACAGATTCATGAAAAGAAGGGTTGGGGTCTATTGCCGGATTTTTACAGATGGAGGTTTCATCACCTCAGCCATACCGTGGTTGACAAGACGAGATCTCCGAAGAGATGCTTTTTATAAATAAATAATGATATGAAAGGGATAAACCCTAAACTGTGTTCCGGCAATGCTGAAAATAGCCCTGGTTGCTTTCCGTGGTCCTATTATTCAAAAACGCATAAAAAATATAGGGGTTACCGCACTCAGATCGAATATTAAACTCTGTAAACAAAACTGTAAAACCTCTCAGTTTTGGTATTCTTATTAGCTCATCTACTTTTGACATAGAAGCGCAGAGGAATTAAAAACTTATTTTTTATTATAAAAACTGTATTTAAGGCCTAAAATCAGATTTTCCATGCTTCATCGGATTTTATTTAAATTTGGAAGAGTATGTTTTCCGGTGATGGAGTTAGTACATTTACACACAAAAAAATCAATAATTTTCATTTCCATGAAAAAGGCTAACAAGAAATGCGTTTTGCTCAATATCTCAAAACCATGATTTTTGCTTATAATGCGTTCCTTCGAATCACGGCAGCACAGAGTGAACTAGTCATGGACAGAAACCTTATAGTAATGCGTTTCATGTATTAACACTGTGACGTATTTTACGAATCAAATCGATATCTGCTAGCTAAACAATAGGCCTAATATCTTCTGAAGTGAGAAAAAAAAAACTGACACTTGATTCAATCAATCATATCTACTACTCAAATAAGGCTTATACTTATTATAGCAGTATAAAATAGTATATTTATAGCTTCCATAGTATATTATACATACCTTCGTTGTGATCGTCACTGCTGGCTAATACAATTATGAACTTTGGCTCAGCTTGCTTGTTGTGGTATTAAGTATTTGCGTAACGTTATTGTTAGATGATGGGTCAACAAGTTTAAAGTAACTGATGGCAATTACAGGACGGACTCACTCATCCGTGACCAACTCATGTTTTTTACTCTACGCAAATGCAGCACAAACAGGTCCTAAAATCCAGACTGACCCCAAGAACTACGTCGTCGCACGCGAAAGCGAAACGTTATGTGAAGTTTTCTTTTCAAAAAGGACTATTATCTACAACAATGTATTTTTATACCATAATATTTTAATACTTGCAATATTATCAAAAACATTTGCTACTGAAACCAAATTATCACTAAAACAGATTTTTCGTTCTGATGTCCATATATTACACTATCTTCCGTATGGTACATAAAAACCCTTGAGTTTACTGGCCCTTGTCTCCCTAATTCCGACTGAAATTTTGCTGGATCCAGCAAGCTATGCTGCTCTTTCCTTAAGATTGCTTTACGTAGGAGAAAATATGGATCGTCTTTGCATTTGCAAATGTTCCCTCTAAAGTTTTAGGATAACAAATCAATACAATTATTCTCACAAAAAAATATAATATATATATATATATATTATTTTCGGGTACAATATTGTAAAAATATATTCCCTCTGAATATTTCAATTAAGCATATCATTAAATGTGGCACACTGTGTTCCTGCTATTAGCAAGGACCTTGTATGACTTAGGAACGGTCACTAGTCCGGGTTTATCGTGGACAGCTACTGGACCCTCGACTCCCTCAGGTTTGCTGAATATAAAATTCTGTATCAGCCAAACAATTGTCAGAAAAATGTTAGCTTTAGCCAAGGACTCTCCAACACACACTCTGCGACCAGTGGAGAACGGAAGGAAGCTTGGTAGACGCTGTATAACAGTATTTGATGAATCCAAAAATCGTTCTGAAAAAATTACATACAAATGATAATTTTTAACGCTAGAATGAAATAAAAAAGTATCATTGTAGAAAAAGGTACCAGAAGCTACTTACCGGGTTGGAATTTCTCTGGTGATTGCCAATATTTCTGATCATTATGAAGCGCCCACAAATTTATTAACACAATCGTGTCTGCCGGTAACGTGTACGAGCCTATAAATCGTAAACCGAGCCTTATTATTATTGTTAAATATGAAAATCAAGTGCATAACGTGATTCATATGATATATTAAAATCGTTACTGTATTATTCATTTACCAATTGTCGTGTCAACTAATGCCCGGTGGACCAGGGCAAGTGGTGCCACAGTCCTAAACCGCATTATCTCCATGATGGTAGCCTCCGTATACGGCAATTTCCCACGGTCACTTAGTATTGGTGGTTTGTCTCCTATAACTTCATCAATTTCTCTCTTGATTCTTTCTTGCACATTTGGGTTATCCACTAAACACGCAATGGCCCACAAAAGCGTTGTTGTCTGAGTATCAACTCCGGCTAATGGAAAAAATCATCTTCAGTTAAATTGCAGAATAGAATACAGTTTCAAAATGTACTCACGTTGAACAATAGTATAATGAAAGTGTAATAAAATCTGTTATTAAGTTTTAAAGAAACTTTTAGACCTAGAAGAAATATAACATAATATCAATCTGATAGATATTACAGAGTTTAACGAAAAAAGGACAGAATCACTCTATATTCAAGTAATATATATATATATATATATATATATATATATATATATATACATATATATATAAACAATTTGCTGAATATTATTAATAATTTCAACGGTAAAACAGAAATACAATTGAAAACCGAAACTAAACTCTGAAATTATACAAGATAACCTAATAATAATTATTTATTACAGTAATGCGACAATTATAAAACAAATATTTAAATAAACACAAATTTCCTGCCAGAAAATACGCTTACTGCGTCGCAAACTTTGAAAATGCTACATACAGTACACTTACCAAGGAATATATCAGACATAATTTGCTTTATGTTTACATTAGTTAACCTGTTCTCAACATCATCCAATTTTCCTTCAACTTCGCCTTCCTTTTGGGATTTCAACAGAATGTCAAGCAAATCTTTCGCGGGAAGATCTGCAGATATTGAAAAAAGAATATTCAAATAAGGTACCGGGTATGCTGCGTAGCACCGTTCACGGTGCATACCAATAAGGTATCTACCCAGTACTGATTCATAAACCTTAACCGTATTCAGGTCTTATCGGAAGTCAGAATATTTAAAATTAAATTAAAAAAAAAAACCAAACAAAAAAAAAAAAAAAAAAAAAACAAAAAAAAAAAAAAAAAAAAAAAAAAAAAGAAAAGTTAGATAATCAATAGCGAAATATATATAGGGTGCTTTGTTTAAGTTATTGCTATTATCTGCACGTCGTTTACTTTACCATTTGAATTATATGTATAACTGTGCACAGTTTACCGTACCCATTTACATCAAAAGAGAGAATTAGTACTCAAAAGGGACATGTTTTGTATTAAAAAATATATTTAAGAAATTGAAAGAAATGCCCTATAAACATATATTAGTGAGAGAATGCATTAACAATTTACAGTAATTATTGAATTGGAATTGTATGCATTGTGTGTATGTGTAGGTGTATGTATAGATATGTATAACTATGTGTAGGCCTATGTATGTATAGAGATCCGAACAGTAATCGGGAGGTCCTGGGTTCGGACAAATGTTTTTTTCTCAAATATTTATTATTATCTTTAATTATCACCAGTGGGGTTGTATCTCCATACCTAAGTTACATTCATGTGACTTACGATTATCCATTGTGTATTTCGCAATACCTTGGGGAAAAAAGTGTCATAATCGGAAAATCCAAGGGTGTACCGTATCACTTGGTGTCATAGCTCAGTTTGTATAGTATCCGACTGAACGGAAATCGGAAGTTCTTGGGTCTTGGGTTCGTAGACGTTTGAAAAAAATTGATTGTTGATGACCAGGAAGTAGCTGAGATCCTTAATCATTATTTTGCTTCGGTGTTTACCGAAGAACCTCCTTTTGATGTTCCTATATTTGAATTTGAGGGCTCAGAAGACAAGAAGTTAACTACAGTTGTGTTTTCCTCGGAGGCTGTTCTTAATAAGATAAATAAATTGAAGCCAAGCTAATCTATTTCAGAGACTTTTAGAGGGAAATTTTGTCCCACCTACATGGAAGGAAGCTAATGTGTCCCCTATTTTCAAGAATGGCTCTAAGAAATAACCGGCTAATTATAGACCAGTTAGTTTGACATCGCAGCTTGGTAAAATTATGGAGTCAATTATAAGGGACGTTATCGTTGATCACCTTGAAAAAATAGTTTACTTCGACCATCATGGCTTTAGAAGTAAGAGGTCTTGTACTAACTAATTTACTTACATTTCTTGAAAGAGTGATTGCTGAATATATCGACCAAGGCTTTCCAGTTGATGTGATTTATTTTGATTTTCGGATGGCGTTTGATAAATTTCCCCATGTTAGACTAAAGAATAAAGTTGTTACTCACGGAGTGGATGGGGATTTAGGTGTGAGGATTAGGAACTGGCTCTTGGGCCGATCACAAAGAGTGGTTGTAAATGGTAGGAAATCGTCATGGGCCTGAGTTATTAGTTGGATGCCTCAGGGGTTAGTTCTGGGCCCAATACTTTTTCTCATTTTTATAAATGACATTGACATTTCCATTAGCTCATCTATTCTGAAATTTACAGATGACATTAACATATTTGGACCAGTAAAGGCAGCGGTAGATTCTGAAGTTTTACAGAGTGATATCGATAAATTATCCGATTGGTGTAATGACTGGTTAATGCTTTTCAATGTCAGTAAATGCAAAGTTATTCATTTTTGGTACAACAATCCTAGATATGCTTATAAATTGGATGGTACTGTTCTTGATGAGGTTGATAGTCAGAAAGACTTAGGCATTATTGTTGATAGTTCGCTCAAACCAAGTAAACAGTGTGATTGCAAATAAAGTTCTAGGCACTATTAAAAGGTCAATAGAATATAAGTCAGTTCATGTTATCAGATCTCTTTATGTTGGGTTAGTCAGACCACACCTTGAGTTTTCTGTTCAGTCATGGTCGCCTCAATTAAAAAAAAAGACAATTTTATTATAGAAAATCCAGCGGCGGCTACGAGACTGCCTCCGTGTTTACGTGGTATGTCGTATGAAGATAGGTTAGGTATTTTTAGTCTGACAACATTAGAAAAAAGGCGCCACCAATGTGACATTATTGAGACATTTAAAATCCTGACTAATAAGGAAGATGTTGATAGGGATATTTTCTTTCAAAGATCTGTTGCTTCAGTTACTAGGGGCCGTAGGTATAAATTGAACAAGAAATATGCTCGTCTAAATTGCCGTAAGCACTTTTTTACTCAAAGAGTTGTTAATGCTTGGAACGCTCTCCCCGCCAGTACAGTTGAAGCTGACTCTATAAACCATTTTAAGTCAAAGTTTGAGAAGTCTAGAGGGGCTCAAGAGGGCCACATCAGGCCTACCAGCCTCTTTCACCACTCATTTAGAGTGGTGTACGGTGAGTCGTATCCAGATAGGGACAGATTTTTTTTCTCAAATATTGCTTATCATCTTTATGTGTTTGTATATATA